TGATGGCTTCCGCGGCCTCTCTTTTGCAGCCACCATTACTTCAAGTACTGCAAGATCTCGGCGCTGGCGCTCCTGAAGATGGTGATGCACGCTAGGTCAGGGGGCAACCTGGAGGTGATGGGGCTCATGCTGGGCAAGGTGGACGGGGAAACCATGATCATTATGGACAGCTTCGCCCTGCCGGTGGAGGGCACCGAGACTCGCGTCAACGCTCAGGCAGCCGCCTACGAGTATATGGCTGCATACATTGAAAACGCAAAGCAGGTAAGGAGAAGTGGCAGAGAGTGTTTCTTTCCCTCCGTGGTGTGACTGCGGATCTTGTAAGCTAATCGTGCAGGAACATCTTCTGGGGTTTGCAGGCTGCCCCTCCTCCTCCCCACCCCCCAGCGACAAAGTGGCTGTCCGGTTGCCCTGTTTTTTCTCAAACGTGGCTAAGAGAACTCTGTGAGCAGCAAAGAACACAGACCCCTTTAAACATTTTCACATATTTATTTCCGTGTCTTACTGTAGGTCGTCAAGTACTGGATTCTCCTTTCCTTTATAAATGGTTTTTATTGCTCAGGAAGTGTTTTTGTGGCTGTAGGTGGTGGTTTGTGGATGGAACAAGGAGGGAGTGTGCTTCTGAAATAACTGATATAATGCATGCTTCTAAAAACAGTATGCAAAATTAAATATAAAATATGTAAGTGTCAGAGATATTTACTGTTTGTAGATCAGGAATATGACATTTATTCTTACCTTCTTGCTTTCTGAAGTCTTACTGCTTAGCCATGCTGCTATTTTCCATAAAAAATAAATACATTTGTGAAGAAAATGCCAATGAAGGAATAAGTAAGTTTTACTGCAATTTGATTAGTCATATTTATAATTTGGAAATTTAGATGAACTGACTCAGATGTCTGTTCCCCCTCTTGGTCACCCTGTATTCAGAGGTCTATGTCATATTAGGCCTGACTATGCAGTAAAATTCTCACATGCAGAAGGATAAGAGAAATATGAATCTGCTCCGTGGCTGATGTAGAAACCAGCACGGCACAGCAGAGCACCTGTTGTCATGCTTCTTCCAACACAGGGCAATCCTATACTAGAAATAAGCGTTGAAATAACTCTAACTCTCCAAGTTCAAATAGTTTTGAGGCCCAGTTTACCCTTCGATTTTTCTTTAATCCTCAAAGTATTTCAAACCAGTTAAAATTAGAGGGCTTTTACTTATTCACTGGAGATACCAGAACAATATTTGGGGTATTTTGGAGACTTGCGCTTCTATTCACAGCCTTATATACAGTTAGAGATATTTAAATAGATGTGAATTAGACTGGATCATAACATCAGAAGAGAGTAAACATAATTGAGAAGTAGGTATATTCTGGGACTTTTTTTAATAATTCATCCCTGTTTGTGAGAAAATTTAGAAATAATTTATTTAATCTCGTTCCTTTTATCTGGAAACTGTTAATGTCATGATGCTAATACTGTTGTTGCAGAAAAACAGGCAACTTAAAAATAGGTCTTTCCTTAAAGATATATTTGTAATATCCAGTTCCTAGGTAGAAATAATGGGTTTCAAAATAGTAAGTATATAGCAGAAAATTAGTATTTTTTTTATATACAGTTAGTTTGTCTGTTTAAAACAGTCCAGGAGTACTCATATGATAGGAAATGTTTTTTTTCTAGTTGTTTATGTTGTACAGTTTTCTCTATTGGTGGTTTCACAGTTTTGAAATTGAATTTGTGTCTAAATATAACAACTCAGCTTTACTGGTGCTCTGGCAGAGTTTGCATGCTGGTTGTTCCACATTTGATTTTGGCAAGCAGTTGTTCTTGAAATAACTCTTTTTGATATTAGATTGCAAGTTGATATATTCCCCTGCATAAGTACTTTGCAGATGCCGATGTTCCAGTTATTTGCTTCTCCATGGGCAGGATGTGGTGTTAATACAGTCAAAATGTGTTACTTGGCTTTGAAAAATAACATATGTTCTTTAGTCTTTTCTTGGTCTCTCCTTCTCTATTATGGGAGATATAAAGAAAATACAAATATTATTCACAAATTCAAAAGTAAAATCAGTGTTCCATTCAGTAGGCAGTTTGTGTGTTCTGTCTCATCTTAACATTTTTCTGATTTAACCTTCCTGACTTATTCAGTATTTGGCAAAACCAAGCAAGTGATGCATCCAAACACACAACTTTCAGTTAAGAACTGGCATATAGGATCATACCAAAATTATTCAACTCAGTATGGAGCAGCCAACAAGCAGTTCCTGAGAGAGGATTGCAAAATTAGGTGCAATGGGTGTTTGTTCTCCTGGGGTTTATTTTGTTTGTTTATTTTTCTTCCAGTATTTGTAAAGATAGCCAGGGGTATTATTTGGAACCTCCTATTTTGAGAGTTTTCTGATCCTAAAAATCTCAAAAATTCATCTTTTGGCTTTCACAGAATGCTCTGGCAATAATTTCTGTCACTTCTGGTGTTCGAAAACATGCCTCCGAAGTTATTTTTTAAACCTAGCAGAAATCTCTCTATGTGCCTCTGAGATGTGTTATTGTACTAAATAATGAACATTCATTCTCTACTGACATACCATGCATTGTATGAGATTATAAATACTTATGTCATAGCCACCCTAAGAAATTTCTCTTCCATGCTGAAGAGTCCCAGCTTACTTAACCATCTCACCACATGGAATCTCTTCTGTACTTAAGCTGTCATTGAAGAAGGAGCTCCTGGCTCCTTGAAGTTGTGTGTTCTGTGACGGTGGCTGTAAGAGAGAAGGTCAATACTACAGATTGTGTGATTTCTAGAAGATAGTTTAGCAAAATAAGGTGTATGTTTAGTGTTTAGTATTAGTTAGCATCGTGGGTTCTGTGCGTATTATTTTTTATCCCGTCACCACGTTGTAGTATGCTTGAAAACCCAATAGAGGGCAGCTAATACTTTCGGAATGGAGATTAACACTGGGTTTGTTTTCCTTCACTGCCGTTAGGTTGGTCGTCTAGAAAATGCAATTGGTTGGTATCACAGTCACCCTGGCTATGGCTGCTGGCTCTCCGGGATCGACGTCAGTACCCAGATGCTTAATCAGCAATTTCAAGAACCCTTTGTAGCAGTGGTTGTAAGTACTGGCTGATAGTTGATAAAACTGCATAGCAAATTGAGTTGAGAGGGGAATAATTTTTAGATTTCTGTCTTTTAACATTCTAGTAGTGTGTATTTTGCATGATGGAAGTGTTAGATCCAAATTTTAAATTGGTATCGCTCATTTTTCTTTGTCAGCCACATACTAGTCAAACCAGTAGCAGTGCTTACCAAGGCCATTTTCAGTGTGTTATTCCAGGTACGGAATACGGTAGCTCTGTAGAAACCCATATGTTACTCTTAACTTAAACTTCTACTTGGTACTTTTGCAAAAAAATGTATTGAGCAATCCATATTCAACCTCTTGCAATAGAACAAAAATCTATTTCTTTTGTTCTCTTTGTTGCTTTTCCTGTCAAAATAGAGCAAAGTCTTTTCACAGAGTTCTGTTACTTTGCATCTAAAATGCCTTTTAAATTAAATCAAGGTAGAAGACACTAGGAAATCTAGTGTCTCTGAAGAAAAAATCTGAAGAATCTCTTATGGCCCTTCAGAGTCTTCCAGGTTTCAGATCACATTTGAAATCAAAAGTAAACCTTATTTTAGATATTACATGTATAACCATTGCTACTGAAGGAAATAAAGGAAAAAAGAAGGAACATAACTCTGATGGAAGAATTACATTAGAAAAGGATAAATGACCCTTAAGAAATATTTCCACCATGTGAGTTCTCCTATGTTATGACATAATTTCACAGATTCAGAACACTTTCATTGGGACTGCTTTTTTCTTTTTTTTTTCCCCCTTCTTTTTCAAATTACTTTGAAAACTAAATGGGGCATTAGTACATACCTTACCAAAGAGATTCCTTCGTTAGTTTCCTGTATTTTCCACTAAAATGCAGCAGATCACATAACACTCTTACCTCTAGTGGTTGTAAGATTAAAATGCAGAGGTTTATTATGGTTTATTGATTGCTCTTAAATACAATTTCTTTAAAGTATTTGGGAAATAAGGAAAATTAGTTTGAAAAAATGGTCTGTAGAAGGCTATTGATAGTCCCATCTTTTTAGAGAGTCTGATACCAACAGATGCCAACTGAAAAAGTACTGTTTATGACAAAACTAATACAATTTGCACTGATTACATTTCTGAAATACAATTACTGTAAAGTTAATGTCTGCCTGTAATAATTTATAAAATGCATATAACAAGCATTACTTATATTTCTACAGATTGATCCAACGAGAACAATATCTGCAGGAAAAGTAAATCTTGGAGCATTTAGGACATATCCTAAGGTAAATAGTTAAAATTGTCTAGGATGTGATGACTAAACTGTCTTTTAGTAAGTAATAGATTGGTTTTAAAGATTAGTGCAGTTTGATCATCTGACAGTTTGATCTGCTGTACTGTATGTCATCCTAAAATAAAAACATGCTGATACACTGGTTATCGCATTTCTTTGGATATTGATTACATTTACAAAGGTTGACTTCTAGTTTGTTTTTCATAGATTTTTGACAGTGTTAAATCAAATAGGCTGTCTAGATAGTGGAGCTGTCCTAAAATCATATAACTTCATATAGTCATTTTTAATGGATTTATTTGTAAGTAGCATTCATCAAAATAGATTTATGTTATTATTCTCAATCATTTTTTTAGACCTAAAACCAAATGTTAATAGCATGTTTAATATATTGTAATCTGCTTTATATTTTGTAAAAGAAAGATTCAAAACTTCTTCTTAACTCTTTCAAATAAATATTAAGAATCTTCACAAAATAATGTACGAAAATCCCAAGTTAATTAAACAACATGTAAGGGTTAGGCTAAAAACTAGAAAATCACATAAATATTGGAGATCTAGATCTCCAAATACAGTCTTTCGTTTATACTTCTGGCAGAGATATAACTATACTATTTAATTTCAATCTAATAAAGTTCAGGTATATCCTTCAAATTTCCAGTTGTTATTGACTCATCAGGAACCTCAGGCTGACATCCAGTAAAACTGTAATTAACAAAAATGTTTGTTAAAGGTTCCCAGTTGCATTCAAGCATTATTTTTGTGTTGATAAATATAGGAGAGATCTTAGAACAGTTTGTGATTCAGGAGAATATTAACTTCTGCAGGCAAAATCACTTCATAAATACTTTCAGAATTTTGTGCAGGGAGAAGAATCCTGCACCTGAAAATCAAATAGTATATGGAAAATGCATGTTAGAAGCATATTTTTAGTGAGTCCTCACAGTAGTTTGCAGGCAGTTCTTGCCTAGTCAGTAGCTGTGAGTGGCACCATCCTGGCTAAATAAGTAACTGAAGTTTTAGGTATCCCTGAGGCACATCCAAGGCATGGATGTTTCTTCCCTCTTCTCATGGCTCCTGTCTTCCCTCAAAACAGGATTGAAATCACTTCCCAGAATAGGTAGAAAAATATTTTCTTAGAAGAGGCTCACTCTTCCTTTGATCTAAGAAATGATCTAATCATAGCTTGCCATCTTACTTGATTGAAAAATCTCAACTATGACCACTAGTTTGCTTCCAACATGCTTTTTGATAGACCTGCAAAGGTAATGACTGCCATGAAAATTCCAAATTTCAGGCTACTGGGGGATATTTCATTTTCCCTAGGGAAAATAAACTGGAATTGCATAAGCTAGAATTTTTGTGAAATGCTTTCAAAGAGTTTAAGCATTTTTAAAAAAGTCTCAAAATTACTCTGTCACCTTTGCCCTTTGTTGAATTTTTAGGGCTATAAACCTCCAGATGAAGGTCCCTCTGAATACCAGACTATTCCGCTTAATAAAATAGAAGACTTTGGAGTACACTGTAAACAGTAAGTAACATACAAACTACTAACTCTAGCACAAGTTCTCATTTTTTGTGTTTAGGTTAGTGATTCAGTACAGAAAAGTACGTTTCTTGGGAGTGTTTCAAATCTTCTAATTCGTAGTTGCTTTAGCACTGTTAGTTTTGTGAAAAAGTGTTAGTGTTGTTTATTAGGAGATATTTTAAGGGAGAACTGTTACAAAGATGAACTTGGTTGAAAGCTTTAGCACTTGATTCCTGAATACCTTTAAGTAGTGGTGCTTTCTTAGGGCAGGGAGGAAAGGGTCAGATGTAGATTTAGCAACAGGGCTAGGGAGACTGTAATCTGTCTGCTCTTCTGAGTAGTGGCAAGTGCTGTGCATGTCTTTATCCTGTGTCACTGGGCGTGGTAAGATTGTTTCTGTCTTTGGTAAGAGTGGAAAGTGGAGCTGCTTCAGGGATAACATCAGCAACAGAAAGAACCACTGCTTTTTCTCTCCTGTTAGTTTACTTTCCATGAATTACAAAGGTCATTTAGTTTTAACCATTCTTTCTTTAGCTGTTCTGTCCCCAGCCACATGTTCCTCACTTTATACCTACATTTACTTACTTGGCAAGCATTTGTTTTGCCAGGTCAGTCCCCTGATCTGGTCCAACTTGTGGAGCACACATGTTCTTGCTGGTTAAGCTAAGCTGGAGTGGAAAGTAGAGACAGATGCTGGAGACACAGTGTTTGCAAAAAAACAGCTAAGGAAAGATGGGACTGCTTCTTTCAATAACAGCCTGGTTTCAATCCTACCTTCAAATGTTTGACAAGCACTACAGCTTAAGCATCTGTGTACAGAGAACTTGAAGATCTCATTGATATCAGTGTGTCCTGTAGGCTGTTGCGTAGTGTTTTCACGTTTTTGGTGCATGGATATCTGTTCTTCAGTGCATTATAGTTGCATGCAAAGTCTGACCCTGAAGAGGTCAAGAAATTAAAACAATTGGAATTTGTCTTCCTGTCCAATTTGAGGAAAAATCCAGAACAGTAGCTACACAGAAATCTTGTAGAACTGTAATGTACCTGTCATCTCAGACTAGTCCTTCTAAGTCTGGCATTGGCCAAAACCCCATGGTTTTAAGCATGAGAGGAGGTTATGTTTTATCCTTTGTATTTTAGAGGTGGTCAATTTGGGAAGTTCATTTGGTGGGGTTTTTTTAACTGGGAAGTGCTCAATAGTTATCATTATAATCTCCATCTCCAGAAGTTTGCTTCTTGTACAAGCCATTTCTTTCCATCCAAACCAAGAAAATATTTTCCAGTCTTTCATAGAAGGATACAGCAGGTAGGCAAAGAGAGGGAATTAAAACTGGAAATTTGTCACGTTACTGAATTACTGATAATACAGAAGACTAGAGTGGTGGTGTCCTCTCAGTAGTATGGGTAGTCTAAGAGTTGAAAGTTTAGAGAACCTGAATGATGATTATAGAACTATAGAATCATTTAGGTTGGGAAAGACCTTTAAGATCCCAGAGTCGAACCGTTAACCTAACACTGCCAAGTCCACCACTAAACCAGGTCCCTAAGCACCACATCTACACGTCTTTTCAATACCTCCAGGGATGGTGACTCAACCACTTCCCTGGGCAGCCTGTTCCAATGCTTGACAACCCTTTTGGTGAAGAAGTTTTTCCTAATATCCAATCTAAACCTCCCCTGGTGCAACATGAGGTCATTTCCTCTCGTCCTATCGCTTGTTACTTGGGAGAAGAAAGCAACCCCCGCCTGGCTACAACCTCCTTTCAGGGAGTTGTAGAGAGCAATAAGGTCTCCCCTCAGCCTCCTTTTCTCCAGACAAAACAACGCCAGTTCCCTCAGCTGCTCCTCATAAGACCTGTTCTCTAGACCCTTAATGATCCTGTCTGTTTGGAAAGCCAGTGACTGCTAATTGTTCCATAGTGGCAGTCTGGATAATCTTAGTCAAACTTCTCTACTTTGTGTTTAATGCCCAAAGTTCAGCTGCTTCCATTTAATGTTTTTAAGTAAGTTTATTACACTATTCCTCAAACAACTTGGATTTCTAATCTTGAATCTGCCACACATCTCTTTGAAGAACTGACTTAGTACCTCATTTTTCTTAGCATATGTGAAATAAGGGTATATGTACCATCACAGAAATATTAGTGTAGTGTGTTGGTAGATTTTAAAGCATGGTTATCTTGGATGGAATTTCTTACAGAAATACCAAGCAAAATAACTTTCCAGAGAAATCAGGAGATAAAGGATTATTGATAACCTGCTCAAGAATTTCCTGATCAAAATAAAGTTTAATATAGCTCTTTAATGTTGCTGTAATTCATCTAAACTAATGACTTTGCATAGCTCAGCTTTATATCTGCTTTATCATCTCTTGTGAATTCCGTAGCACCAATGAAGCCTGGTTTTCAAAATAACTGTGGTAGAACATAAAATTGTTTGCCTGTTTGTAACATTTACTGCTATCAAACAGTCCTAACTGAATTAGAGGTGATATATGTAAGTGACAATAATTACAGTATTGAAGATCCCAAGCATGGAACAAGGCATCATTGCATTGCAGAAGAAGCTGTTAAAACAATAATTAGAAAAACTTTGCAATCTCATTAAATAGAACACAGCAGTATGTGTGGGAATTATGTATACCTGTCTTAAAACTATATATGAAATACTTATGGAAAATCTTTACAGTTAAAATTGGAACTGGGGGTGACTTTTTTATTGTTCAGTGCTTTGAATTTTTGAAGATATTTGCCATTGATAAGGGTTTTTGAGGTGCATGTACTTTGGGTATCACAGCCAAACAAGGTGTATTTAGATGGAAGCTTATTTTGTTTGCATGTTTGTTTTTAAAGGTATTATGCTTTAGAAGTCTCGTACTTTAAATCATCTTTGGATCGTAAATTGCTTGAGCTTTTGTGGAACAAGTACTGGGTGAACACTCTCAGTTCTTCTAGTTTGCTTACTGTAAGTACCGTAGTGTGCTATTGTGTGCATATATTGATTCATTAGTGCTGAAAGCCAGACCCTCTACTGTAAAATGTTTAATGGGACACTGATAGATATAGATCCCATGTTAAGAATCTATTTGTCAGATTAAACAGTAAAGGAAGGGTTTTCTGATCATAAATACTAAAATGTTCCTTATATCTGCTTTTTAAAAGTAGAAGATGGGAATAATCTCTTTAATTTTACTGAGTTCTCTATATGTTTAGATTTTTGTCTTAAACACCTTTTAACCTTGTATCTTTTTACAGCAGTGTAATGAATAGTGTGCCTTAAAATAATGGTATTGAATAAGTAAACACCTAAAAAAACCCCACCAATGTAACTGTTAAAACAAGTTTGCAACAGAAATACTGCAGGTAGACCTTCAATGTAACAGGTCAGCATCAAACCCTTCCTTCTGCAAAAGCCAATTTTATACCTTTTCTCTTAGTCAAAACCAACTGAGTTTTACTTACTCTTGCATAACTTAGGACACAGGTGGAAAGTAGTAACACCCATTTCAGGCCTTAGGTGTTGAGCAGATGTTTGTTTGTCAGATGTTTGTCAGATGTTCACCTGTTCTCTCAACCACCACTCATGTGTGCCTCATGTTCTCTATCACTTCAATTGCGGATAAAGGTTAAAATGTGCAGTACCACAGTCTTAAAGGCTCTTTTCAGATTTTGTTTATTTTGTGTATAAATGCTTGAATTTATAGCTTAGATTTCAATATGTTTATTGCCTTCTTTCTCCTAAGAATGCTGATTATACCACTGGCCAAGTCTTTGATTTGTCTGAAAAATTAGAACAGTCAGAAGCTCAGCTTGGAAGGGGCAGTTTCATGCTGGGTTTAGAGACTCATGATAAGAAATCAGAAGACAAACTTGCAAAAGCAACAAGAGACAGGTAGGATAATCAATACTTGTGTTCTTCCCTGTAAAAAGTGTTATTTTGTTTTAAACTTTTATCATACCTTTAATTGTAACCAACCAATTAAATTTTAACCTATAAAGATTATGGATAAGAATTATTAGATATAGATAGGAATGACAGACTCCAAATATCACTAGTTATTTTTGAAAGTTTAAGAAAATCTTGCCTTTATTAAACCTACAATGGCTTTTCAATCTTTGTTTTCATATTCCTTGATTGATATATCCTTTTTCCATAAATGAGGAAGGGGGTTTTTTGTTTTGTGTTTGTTTTGTTTTTAAGAAGTAGATTACAGACATTCTGGCCTATATACTTAACTACCCTGCCTGATAATAAATACTTGCTATTATCAGTTAATGAACTTATCACTGGGTATACAGCGTTATTTCAAAGAAGTTGTAGTGTTTTCCCTCAGTGTTCCTTATATGTTTGTTGGTAATCTGCTCTTGGGGTTTTTTTTGACCTTTGAAGTACAAAAGTTGCTTCTCACTAATGCTCACATCTGTCTCCCAACAGTCTTATTATTCTGTGTGTTTAGGCTATCTATATAATGTTATAGTCACCATTTGTCCAAGTAAAATCTTTAACAAAGGGTAATAGTAACCAACAATTCATACAGTATCTTGGGCTATTCAAGAACATTGTATTTGGCAAATTCCAGGCTTTGAAAACCAACAAGTACTGCACTGTACATGCTAGTACAATCTCAGGTCATCTGTGGAGAAGACAGGACTCACCTGCATGCATCTTAGGAGATTTCTGAGTGAAATGTAATTCAATTTAATAAGAAACAATCCTGTAGAATCCCTTGGAACAGACTGCAAAAACTGAATAAAATCTGAGATGTTCTACTTTTCAGATTTGGAGGTTTTCTGGCCCTCTTCCTCCTCATTTTACCCTGATACATAGAATAGTTTTCTTGTATTCTCCCCCCTGCCCATGTTAGCAATATGTGCCATAGGGCAAACTTTACTAAGGAACAGATTTTTGAGCTACCAGATGAATAGTGAGATTGATAGGTAAAAAAATCTAGAGACAAAAATGAGGCCTTGTGTGAAGAGGCTGATTTATAAATAAACTACTTTATTTACATCTTGCTCAGTATGACTCGGGTGAACATTGGCTTTGCCTTAATAAAGAGAGGAGTCAGCTTGTGTTGGACAAGCCTTTGTTCCACAGTAAGCAGTGGGGGAAATACCTAGAAATGTAATATGGTCATTGCTAAATAGAATCAGAGTTGCTGATGAGCTAGTGTCTTCTGTGTATTTGTTTCCTTGTTATGGAGAATTAACAGCTCTTACACATGATTGAATTGGAGGGGATTGACTTCATAGAAGTTAATATCCATTTAGACAATTTTAGTTGCAGAATAAATTTGCAATGGAGTTGCTAACTCACAACAACCAGGTTAAGTGATGACTCCCAGTTCCTGTAGTGACACAGTTATAATAGCTACAATAGTTAAAATAAAGACATGAGAAGGATGGAGTTGCTGACAAGTTTGCTTTGATTTTGATCCCTGTTTGGTGTCCCATAATACTGACTGCATTTTATTTTCATGTTACTCTCATGCTTACAATTATTCTGAGAAATAACTCCTCCTCTGATCATCCTACTGTATTATTTCTTGCAGCGTTTCTAAAGATTTTTCTTTTCTGTTTTTTTAGTCATTGTCAGTAGTTAGTTTATAAATTGCAAGACTGGAAGGGATTGTTTTTGTCTTCAATTCTGCTTTCCTGTGTAATGGAGGCTACTGTAGTTCCCAAAATGGATTGTAACACTTTTACAGATGCATCTTTTTCTTCAACTAATAATCTTTGCTAAGAAAAGAGAAAAGACCGTAGAAGAGTTGTGCAGACCCCAGGACAACTGATTCAGTGGCACCTAAATTGCTTTCAAGAAATAAGGTTGCAAAGTTTTCTAAAGGATTATTTGGTGTACCTGTTTTAGGAAAAACAATTAACATAAAGACATTAGTATAAAGGTGCTTACACTCAGCTATATGATATCTTCTGTTACTGTACATGCACATCTCTAAGAGCCATTTTCTAAGAGTGCATATGCATTTGGCAAACTGTGCTCCAAGGCTTCCTTTGCCTAGGATTCCTTTATCTGTCTAGTAGTAATTTGTCCCTATTCTCCATGCCTTTAGGGCTGATTCATCTTTTGCATTTGTATATTCTGTTTTGAGACATTTTTATTTCTTAGACTGACACTAGATGCCTCTGAGCCAGGCACACTGGATGAAACTTGGATCAATAGGAATCCTCTCAGCTGTTCAGGGGGGTTGCACATTACATATTTTGACTAATAACTGATTAGCTCTCTAAACTCTTCCTTTAACGTTTTCTGTAAAGTTTCTCACAGGAGCTCTGGTTAGCATGAGTAGCAGGTCGAGGGAGGTGATTCTCCCCCTCTACTTCGTTCCTGTGAGACCCCACCTGGAGTACTGCATCCAGCTCTGGGGGCCCCAGTACAAGAAAGACATTGAGCTGTTGGAGTGAGTCCAGAGGAGGGCCACGAAGATGATCTGAGGGCTGGAGCACCTCTCCTATGAAGACAGGCTGAGAGAGTTGGGGTTGTTCAGCCTGGAGAAAAGGCGGCCTTGGGGAGATCTAACTGAGGCCTTCCAGTACCTGAAGGGGGCCTACAGGAAAGATGGCGAGGGACTGTTTATCAGGGAGTGTAGTGATAGGACAAGGGGGAATGGGTTTAAACTAAAAGAGGGTAGGTTTAGGTTAGATGTTAGGAAGAAATTCTTTACTGTGAGAGTGGTGAGGCACTGAAACAGGTTGCCCAGAGAAGTTGTGGATGCCCCCTCCCTGGAAGTGTTCAAGGCCAGGTTGGATGGGGCTTTGGGCAGCCTGGTCTAGTGGAGGGTGTCCCTGCCCATGGCAGGGGGGCTGGAACTAGATGATCTTTGAGGTCCCTTCCAACCCAAACCATTCTGTGATTCTATACTGTGTACTACTGGCCTGAGGTTGGGCAAAGGAGATAAGGTAGAGAACAGTGAAAGCTTTCAGGTGTTGATAACAGCTGGTAGCTCCATTCCCCCAGAGGTATTTTTTTTATTTTTGTTTTTTTGATTGAGGTGACCACAGAGCTCGCTTGCTATTGTTAATGCAAGATGTCCTAAATTCCCAGACAAAGAAGTTTTCTGGAATTGGTGTCTGTGTGTGTAGTGCTCGTCAGTTTGCTTTATAAGTAACAAAGAGCTATTGGCAACAATGGCTAAATTCTGTGTGTGACTTTTCCTTTCTGGACAGCTGAGATTCATGGGGTTGTGGGCACCCTGAACTTCCAAAACAGCTGAGTATCTTCAAATAAAATGACAGTTCAGTTTTTGGCCAACATTGAATCTATGCTTGTTTTTCAGCTGCAAGACCACCATAGAAGCTATACATGGATTGATGTCTCAGGTTATTAAGGATAAACTTTTTAATCAAATTAATATAGCTTGAAGAGCATCACCAGCTGATATGCATCTCCAAAACAGAAAAAAGTCATGGTTTCTTTTGCTTGGACTTGTTCAATTTGGGAAATGAATCTAGAGTGGAAAATTATTCATTTAATTTGTAGTACTTTAATATTTCCCACCTGTCTGACCGGTTTTAAAGAACAAAATGTTCTGAAATGTAGTGCAACTTTTTGTTCTTTATCATAAAACACAACCAGTTTGGAGAATTGTTCCAAAAGAAAAATAAATGTGACTTACTGGATTTTGCTCTTAGGTATTTATCTCTATTATCCAACTGCAATAAAACAATTTTGAAAATGAGTGTTTTGGGGCTTGAATTTTTTGGCAAACATTCATCTCCTCTTACTGTTTTTCTTACTGTTCTGTAGAACAGTTCTGTCCATTCAGATGAGATAGGTAACCTATGCAGTATAAGAAGTTTGTTTCTCAGATTTTAATTTCTGTGTTTAATTTTAAGAATTAAAATCCCATTTGCTTATCTTTTAACAAGTTATTAAATCTAATGGATCCTTTCCTGATTTAGTTTTACTGGTCCACCTAGAAATGGTTTCTTCTCACAGTGGTGAAACATTCATGCATGATATAACAGTATTTTGCTTGTAGCTTCACATTTATGATGGACGTTTTATATTTCTAAGTAGTCAAGTAACAACCACTCCCACAGTGAAACTAATAATATGGTTATATACCATTATTTTTGTCCTGCTCACTTTCTATTGCTTGTCATAGTCATTTGTTGCATACAAAGGAATAAAATGAAAAATTATCTCTGAAATACGTATGAGGCTAATTTAGAGCCACAGATATTAAAATGCATTAATCATAATTGCTGGCTTACAACATGGTGTTGCTGCAGGGCTGATCTAAGTTTGTTTTGGAGGCTTTCATACTGCATCTCAATAATTCAAGATGTTTGGATTTCTTTTAAGTTTTTATCCTTAATCCTGAGTTTCCTGGGGTTTTTGGAATGTTTACTTTTGGGATAATTTATGCTTCATACAATATGCCATTACACTTTATACCTTCAGTAACTGATACTCCTTTTCAAACTTAACTCTGCCTTGATGTGGGTTTTGCTTTTGTTTTGGTTTGGAAATTATAATAGCTGTTACTCATTTGGGGCTTTTCATCCAAATGGGGTCCAGCATATTTGAAGCTGAGATGCAAATTATACAATGGAAAGTTATCAATCCGCGGGGAAATGCAGATACCCGAAAGCAGAAATTCATCAAGAGTTTTAAAGCAGCAGCATCCAACAGTATAGGAAAAATATATTTAATAGGAGCTAGTAAAGTTGAGATAATTATCAGATGTGCAGTTTGATAGGAGAACAATTTTATGCTTCTTCCAGCATGGCAGTGGTGGTGGGGAGGCAGGAGAAGAAAGCTGTGGTATTTTAATATTCAAAGCTATTAGTTTTCTTGGAAAGGGCAGCGATGGACTTCTGTACAAGCAAGCACAGTACCTAAGCCCACAGCAGTACCTTTTAAGTTCAGGGAAAACACAGCAAGTGTACCTGGCTAGTAACTTTTCCTACTTACTTTCTTCCACAGGTGTTTGTGAGACTTTAAGTTTTAGCACACAGCTATTGTCCCACTCAATCTGTGTTTACACTAAGAAGTATGCTGCTTTTGTGAGATAAATACCTATTAGGAAATATGTTGCCACTTTATAGAATTCTCCTTGCATAACATGATCCAGAAGTTTTGGACATCTTATATTACCTGAAATATAAAATAATAGTTTAATCTCATATTAACCCATTTAGCATATTTAAATTGTCCTCATTTGTGATAGCAATGAGCTGAAATTCCATGCACGTAGGCTCAGACTGAATGTTTTTAGTCACAGTGGCTTTAAAATACCAAGTTGTTTTATAAGCTATACCAATATGAATGCTGATGTAAACAGCATTGTCCATTGAGTTATGTGTGGTGTTACTTGCTGAGCATATAGTGTTAGAACTATATTTAAAATCATACCTGTCATGTGGCTATACCTGTGGCCTGTATAGGATCCTTTCTGCAGTGTTCAGGAACCAAAACAACAATGCCCTTGTCTTTGATCAACCATTTTTAATGCTACCATTATTCTGAATTCTGCTTAACTGAGATCAGAATTGCGTGCATTGAAGGTGATTACCACAAAGGAGTCATCCAGTATGTACACACATGCACACAAGTGTATCCTAAACAATGGAGAATCTTTAAGGGATAGAAAGTACACCTTAATTCTACCAAATAGTTTTGAGACTTTACAAATATTAGAAATAAAGGTATTCTTGAGAACAGTACATGTTGTATATGAAAAGATGTGAATTTGTTCTTCCACGTTTGCACCTACTTTTTAGTTAGAAATTAGTTTATGCAAATGAGTGCCACATCAGGTAATTATTTTGACAGCTGAAGTAATTCAGTACATACTAAAGCACAAGCAAATAGGTTCTCCGTATTTAGATTTTTAAGACAAACATGCATACAAAAATTCTGAGTGCCTTTGACATTTTAATAAATAGCAAATCTAATCCAATGATCACAATTATTTTCTTCATCTAACAGTATTTGCCAACAGATATTAAAATCATGAGATGCTGAAAGTGCTGAATTGTGTTTGAACTTCTTCCCTCTCCCGGTTTTCTTTTTTCCAGTTGTCCTGTATGCTCACCTTTCTCATGTATGCAAATAGGATTTTTAAACAAGTTATACTTTCTAATCTCAACAAAATCCAAATAAATATATGCATATTTGTTACAATCAAATACCAAGGACTATGCTATAATTCCCGATAGAGTACCAGTTTGCCTTTGTTGTGCACAGGCTTTAAGAGCCTTTCAGATTTATTCTGATTACTGGGACAAAGATGCTTCATTGTCCTATTAGACCTCCTCCTCCTTTGAAGTTCCCTTCAAATGTTTGGTCAGAACTGGAATGGCAGCTCCTATATATTAATTTTGTTCGCTGCAGATTGAATGGTTGGGCTTCTGTTGCCATATGGCACCAGAAATAAGACATAATTTTTCTTGCCTTTTTTAAATTTACTGAATGCAGTAATGCAGCAGTGAGAGACCGACTTCTAATTCTGTTCGCCTGTTGTCCTATCTTCCAGTCTACCTAAAACGCAACTAGGCAAGAGAAGTTTGGGGGCTTGGCAAAGACCCTGCTAGTTGGCCATCTCTAACAGCAGCTATAAGAGAGCACGTGAACCTGGCTGCTTTTTTACCTGCTTTGAATGGACCTAGTAGCTTTATAGTCTTTCTAGTCCTAATAGCATGCCATGTGCCGATTAACAGTTTTGTCTGCCTTACCCTCCACCTTTATGATTTATTAGCTTTTATCGTATCGTCACCTCAGCCTTCTCTCCAAATTGAGAAATTCCAGCTTTTTCATGCTGTTGTTACAAAGCTGCCACTTTACTCACCTGATCGTTTCAGTTGCCTTCCATACCACGTCTCATCCTGCTTTGTCCTGGACACGCAGAGCCCAGAACTGCATTGTACTCAATTCGGGAGAGGCAAAATAGTTCTCCCCTGTTGCTGGTGACACCCAGTGTTTCGTTGGCTTATTTGGTTGCTGCTGCATGTCAAGCTGATGATTTCACAATATTAAAAAGTGCTTAAGTTTGCACTGATACATACAACTCTGGAAAGCATTGTGTAAGCATGGTTCAGATTTTCCTAAGATGCATTTATCTACATCGAAGCTCCTCTGCCACGTTTTTGCTGACTCAGTTTTGTGAGATCCTTTTGGAGTTCCTCACCGTCAGTGTGGTATTTGACTACCCAGAAGAGCAAATTACCAGCTGAAAACTTCAAGATGCTTAGTTATCTGTAACTCTTCAGGGTTTCATCCGATTGATGTGCTCATTTCAGAGAAGAGTTCATCCCAATGATGCTGACTATATTTTATAATGTATTGCTATCCTTTTGGACAGTAAAGTCAAATGCAAAATACTGTGCTGTCTATAACAAAATTCAGGCTTTGGTTGTCTTTATAATGCAGTACAATGTCTAGCCATTGTTTCGTATTCTGAATATCCAGAACGCTGCGCAGAGAATAGTAACTCTAGGACAAACTTTTGAAAATAAAACACATTGGAGGACCAGCACTGAATTGCACTGACTGTAGGGAAGAATGTTTTGCTCTCTAAAGGCTGCACACTGGAGAAGGAGATGGTTTCAGGCCTAGTACGTGAATGATGAGGTGCAGATGCAGGACTCATGCATGCACAATTCTTCATTTGTCTTGCATATGCCTGCACTTTATCTGACTGCCATATATATGTAACTGAAAAGAAGCACTTCAGAAACTTGCAAAGTTCTATTCCTGGATTATTTTAAAAGTCACTAATGGCAATAGAAACATTTAAAACTTAGATGTATATGGTATATCTGAGGTATCTGGTCATATGAAGCAAGAATACTTCTATTTCTCAGATTTTTATATGTAGCCAAGACGCTTAAGGTACTGAAATTTTGCTTTGAAGTCCCACATAAACAATTAGATTACCTACTCAGTAGATATATTCTTAACTAATCTGTAAAATGTAACATCTTCACTCTGGTTGCATTCGCTTTAGCAATGTTTGTGGATAGTGTTTAACACTAAAAAGCTAAATTAGGTGATAAGGTTATTTGGGCTGATTTTTTTCTAAATAATCCTGCATCCAGCAGCCCTTGTTTGTACCACTAAGCACCCAGATTTTCAAAAACTCGGCATTTATTCAGAGGGAAAATGGGAGTTATTAGACGTTAAGTGTTTCCCTAGGTCTCTTACATTAGATGCCTCTTGCAGACTAAGCCTTTCTGAAGGATTGGCCCTAATTAGGAGTTTTAAGCAATAATCTCAATACACTCAAGAAAGCCAAATTTTAGAAAATGTTTTGGTTCCAAAAACTTTATCTGCCACCATTAGCCACTAGTATCTGGGTTTCATTACAAACTCTAATCTTTACTCTTGTAAGCGATCTTTGTATGAACAACCTCACTGAAGTCAATAAATGTTTTTGCTTTAGAAAAACCTAACTTTAATCTTTTGCTTTTAAGCAGCATCACAAGTTCTTCAGTCATCCCTTACCCCACAATGTCTCTGCTCAGACCCTATTTTACAAGGGACACTCTTGTTTTCCTTGCCTTCTGTGGCAGCTCGTGCACACAAGCTCAGATTAAATCGAATGACCTCTTTTAAACTTGCTGTTTAGTAAATGAAGCACAGTTTTCTTGCATTTATATCACTTGTGCCTTTTACAAACCTTCACCTGCGTCTGGTTTTGGATATTTTGTTTTTCCCTTAACGTGTCT